AATTTCCTTACATCTGTGCACCTTCAGAATTTGCAATTGACACTAAATAAATAATGACACAATTAGCATAAAATATTAGCTATCCCATTAGAAATATTTGTCTGCCAGTAATGTACAAATACTCTTTTACATTTGCAGAATCCCAGAGCATTAAAAAAAAGAAACTATAACAAAAGAAAGCAAGGAGAGCGACAAAAAAAAACGTGTTTCCGGCCATGACTGTCGCATGTCAATTTGGGCACTTTTTTTTGGGAACTTTTTCCATCTCTCCCTTATCAAAAGAACTATGGGGAGTGTAACGACAAGCGGGTGAACTTTCTTGTGCAACCTAGCATGAAATTTGTTTGTTTACAATTGCAAACTCCATGCTCCTGCATAGGGTGGCTCCTTCCACGGCTGTTGTTGCTGCTATCAAATACCGGAAATTATTGTATGTTATGCCAACGTCAACATTGGCCTCGCGGCATCATCGTTATCGAAACGCGGCGTAAATCCTGTATTTATGTATTTTTGGCTGCTTATTTCATGCATCGTTGACTGATACATATTCATGGAACGATACCGACGAGGAGCACAACGGTGGAGAAAATTTAAATCAATTACTCTGGCGATGACGCCAGTTTTCGTTGGAAGTATGTTTCCGAGAATTACTTAAAATTTATAACTGATGAATTTATAACTGTGATATATAATGTCCGTGTAATGTAAATTCAATATTTAGCCTTTGCCTTTTTGCTTTTTGGAATGGGTTATTAAACGAATACATATGAATCACGATGCAGTTCGTTTAACACAAAACTACATAATTGGAAAATCCAATTTATTTAAGTTTAAACAACGCACCGCAACAATTAGTCTCATTTGTTGTAAATGTCATTGACATTTTTGCACCAATGAGTTCGCAGCTCAGCAAAAGTTAATGGGCCTAAAAGGAATGGGTAGTGGTTGGGTCGAGAACGGGAATGGAACGGGGCAGCTGCTGTGCGAGAGGAATTTTTCTATAAATTTGCATAGTGTTACCAAGTGCAATCAAATAGTCGTAAATAAAAGTGAGCCGCATTGCATTTATGGCAGTTGCAGCAACTGAACATAAAGTTCCCACAGGCATGGTCAATGCACTCGAGGGCCCCAAGGATAACCGGAAAAAAGGGGCGGGAGTGGGAGTGGTAGGGGCTGGTCCTGGCGAGGAGTACTACATAAGGAGCAACAGTGACGCCAGCAAACAATGTGCCACTTGAGCAGCACTCTCTCCCTCTCTCTGTTTTGCTGTGCAAAAATTATATTACAACATTGTGTATAAAATGTGATTTCCAGGCAACAGCAGCTAAGGCAGCATTCAAGAGAACATATTGCACTTGCGTGCACAGAGAAAAAAAAGGGGTCCAAGAAATAATATAAAATACAATACAGATAATAATAAAGTCATGAATGTTTTAAAAGAGTTCAATTATACAAGTAACCTAAGTTTATTTAGATAAAAAGAAAACATTTAGCATTTAAAATGAAAGTAAAGGGCTCTAGGTATTAACTTATTTGAATAAAATTTGTATTTTAAGAGGACTGCTAAGATTTGTGCTATCAAAATATAAATTGAATGTTTGTTAATTTTAACATTATAACATGCTTAGCTATGGTTAAAAGCGTTTTTGGTTTAATTTCTGGCCAGTGTAATTGAGTACTTGTGTTGTGGCGTATGTTAACCCCTTGGTTGCTCCTGGGGTTTGGTGGGCTCACGCTTCGTTACTTGGCTGCTTGCAAGTAAGTGCGACAGTGTGCTAGGGGCCATAAATGGGCTAAGAGAGAGAATCGTATCGGGTGGGATGTGGGCTGTGGGATGTAGGGGCGGATAAGCAATGTGCGTGCGTCGCTTGGTCGGTTTTAACACGCACTTAACGCACCCCTTGACGCTGCCACCCTCCAAATGGATGAATGAGTGTGTACACACCAACAATGTAATCTAGGGTCCGTCGACGACTGCTCATTTCCACTACAAAAGTTAATATGCTGCTAAAATGGCATTAAAAGCGTGGTGGCGAGTTGGGGTAGAAACTCCTGATAACTTGGGAAGCATAAACACCTCGCGGCACAGTTGCGTTCTTACCGAAGCTAATAAAGTTGGACAGCCAAAGGAAAAACGGGGGAAAACCATGCGAAAAATGTGGGTAACTGCGAAGCGGAGTAGCAAAAACTCATAAATAGAAAATGAGTAAGAGAGCTGCGCGAGTGGCAACGAAGACCATTTTGCACTTTTCACAAATTAAAGTTTATGTAATGTCCCCCCAACGACTAAGTGACCAATGACAGCCATATGACAACCTTTGACACTGCTATTACACTTTCCAACTTTGTCATGGCAACTGTGAGCATTTAATTGGCCAAGTGTAAGTGTAGGGACTTGAGGCACTCAAACAGTTGAGAGTTTGGTCCATGAAAAATAATTTCATTAAAGCAGTCAATAAAAGTTGAAATATATTATGGGTTTTTAATAGCTGTAAACTAATTTACTTTAAAACCTTTAGTGTAGTATTATCTCATTGTTGTCAATAACAATGTAGGGAATAAAATTTAAAAAAAGATTTTCTTTAGTTTACAAATTGATAGCTTTAATCTCTAGGTGTGGGGATATAAATCGAACCCAACTTTAAATTGATTGAGAGACAGTTTTAATTAGCATAATTGTGTGGGCAACCAGAAACTATTGGGCAATTTCAAATGTAAATTAATTAAAAGTCTTCAACATCCTGCCCTAAACTAAATGAAAACCAGCGAATTAATGAAACGGAATGTCAATTTCGGTGTTTTATTTGGAATTTGTACTCTATATCAATCAAAATGTGCAAGGGCGTCAACAAGTTAGACAGCTGGTGGGCATGGGCATGTAAACGGCTTTTGTGTTAGCTCATTAAAGTAATTACGCCACGCCCCCAACGCACAGATAAAATTGCAACCAAGCTAAATGCGCCCATGACAATAGTTTTGTCAAGTGTTGTTCATGATTCTCTGGCTGCATGTGTGCAAGTATGTATGTTTTTGTGGGAATGTCAAATTGCATACAATTTTTGCGAGCAACAACAATGGGTAGATTGTCGAAAAAAGTTGGCCAACAAAGCGCCCCTCGTGTACTCAACAAAATACCCACCGTTGCAGTTGCTCCCATTTCAGTTGTTTAGCTATGCATTAGATTCTACTTCTTTTGTTGCAGCAACAGCAGCGACAACTTTATATGGGTGTGGCAGCCGCCCATTGTTATAGCCATGGCTATGGGAAAATGTTAGTACACAATAAGAAAATAAATCGATTTACCTATAAGTACATATTTCTAATGCTTTTTTTTAGTTCATTTTTAGACATTTTTTCTGATTGGATTTGAATTGTTTAGCTTTGCATACAAATTCTGATTTAAATATTTAATCAACACATGAATGAAAGAAAGGAAAGTTTGGTAAATAATAAAAAATAGCATAAACAAAAAAACTCAAACTATTACGATTTTTTAACCCACTGCATTTTTAAACACATTGCCAAAAAAAAAATTAAACTTTTAAAATTTGTTCACCAATTAGCAATACAAAAATGCTTTAGGAACTTTAAATCTTTCTTATGGTATTTTGTAGTTGTATTTGCCAATTACAATAAAAGGTAGTAATAAGTTTTTAAAAAATTGTTGAGATCAACAAACTACATTATTATAAATCAAGTTTTAAAAATCGTATTCAAGAAATGTAATCAGAGAAGCACATTTAAAGTTCTTGTTATGGAGATGCAACATTGTTTGCCGTGCATGTGTGTAAAGCAGCCGGCGGTCTGGAACCTGATGTCGTCATAGTTGGAGCTGCCTGCACAATAACAACGGCGATGCATCCGCTTTTTTTTCAGTTTGCAGTTGCAACTTTTCATTGTCAGTGTCATTGTTGCAGCGATATTACGTGTACGAGTGTGCGAGTCTGGGGGCACACCTTCTTTGGTTGCACCATTGTTGCCGAGTTGCATAAAAAATTGACCATTGAACCGGGGAGAGAATATTCCTCTTATTTTCTTCGCTTTATACGGGAAACTTCATGCGTGGCTTGCTTTTAAAATGAAGTCGCCGGCTTGCCTTTTTTGCATAAACCATGAAAAACGTTGCCACGTTGCCCGTTTTCATTTTGGAATGAAAGTTTTTCCGTTTCTTCTTTGTCGGCACAGCTGACGGATCAAAGTTTCCACTTCGCCATTGGCGGGGAAAAACTGCTGCGGTATGCTCTGTATTCGTTTCGATTTAAGTCGACAAATTCTAATTGACCAGAAAAAACATTCAACCTAATTTGGGAAACGTTTTCTTTTAATTACGAGTTTTCGCAAAACGGAGAATTTTAAAACGTTGTCAATTTAAAACTTATAGAAACCTTACATTAAAGTTTACCAATAGGTTGTAAATGAAAATGAAAGCAGATAACAACGATTTGTTTGGTTTAAGGGTATTAGTAAAGATTTTACAGGACAAGAGGATTAAGATACTATATGGGAACTCAAAAATCGATTTAAAACTAGAGTAAATATACTTGCTATTTACTTTTGTAAAGCGTATTAAGAAAAGCTTCCACCGTGACATAAGCTTAGCTCTACAGCCCCATTTCTCACTGCTCCGATAAACAAGTTGTTAAGCTCAACAACTTCTGAAAAACGTGTGCCAGTTGACAAACTGACAGCCCAGCTAGGGAGATGAGCATAACTGAAATGATTAGCAACCAGCCACTCGCGACTGTCATAACTCAGGTGTCAAAACAGTAACGAAATGTTATCAAACAATTTCAAGGCTGACTTGTGTCTTCCCCCGCACTAAATCCAAAAGTACAGAATAAAGTCGGAAACTTCCAACGATGCCAGCCGGCAAATAAATCACATTTAACAATGTGCTGGGAGTATTTTTCATTTCTGCATCGGCAACTTACTTTTGAAGACTGGCAACTGGCAGGGGGATGTAGGATGAAAAGTGGGAAAAGGAACTTATTTCGACTTACCTTCGCGCACATTTTCGTAGGCGTCCTCGACATGTGACTCCTTGTAGATAATGGAGTGAAAATCAAGTTCGTCCTCGGCATTATGCTTCTGCTCCTGCTCGTCCTCGGAATTTTCCGTTGTTGTGGGTGGGAATGTTGTCGACGACGACGACGACGACGGGTCGGAATGCTCTGGGAGCTGCTGGGTCGTCGTCGTTGTGGATTCAGCAATTTTCTTTATGAAGTTTTCTGTCTTACTATCAACGGCAGTCCTGTTGTTGTAGCTATTGTTGTTATTGCGTCGGGCCAAAGGCCGCGTGTGTTGTGTGTTCTTTGTGGTGCTGCTCTGTGGAGCCGCCGTTGTTGACGAGTAGGATGTTGTTGTCGGAGTTGGTGGTGTTGTCGCCGTGCGATTTGTGGGGAAATAATGTTTGGCATGTTCAACATAATAGGCATCACGTTCCGTTATAATTTTACCCTCGAATACCCCGTTGTGTATGGAACCAAATACATAACTATTACGATCCCCTATCACTTCGCCCTCATAGATATGATCCGTGGAGACATCAATGGGACCTTTGCTATCATAAAACTGAAAAAAAAAAATACAAATATGTTTAACATGTTTATGTTGTTCTATCTTAATGACAATACTCACGTCTAACTTATTGCTAAATGTATTTAAATCACGTTTTAGTCTAAGATGGAAGTCTCTTCCATGTGATGCAAACTTTAAATGTACATAATGATCTTTGGTCACTGATCGTCGCGCTCTGTTGTGACTAGCTCGGATGTGCTCATGATCATAGTTGAGTGTTTCATAGTGGGATATGTATTCGTTAAGTCGTTCATGACCTGTAAAAATAGAGAATGTATATGAGAAATAATCCACTTTGGCTATGAAAGATAAATAAGCTTATTTTCTAAGTATTCTAGAATCTAAAACAAAAGATAAACTTTTATAAAATCAAAGGCAATTTAATTTAAATCCGGTATTAGTTAAATATACGTAAAGCTAAGCTTAATTTTTGAAAAATAAGCCTCAACAATCCTTTCTTGTTGAATCCTGAAAATCGATTGCAGGCAAAAAACCGAGAAACAATTTGATAACCGCAATCGAAATTTAATTGAAGACCGGAAATTGAAACACAACACCAGACCAGAACTCCGATGTGTTTATATGTCCACTTCAGGAGATGCCAGGACTGGCCTGAAAGTCCTCTGAGTACTTTCATTTCCTTGTCAACGCTCGGACACCACCTTCACTTAATACTTTTAACGTTTGATTGCATTTATGTAAGGGGTATGAGTGGTCACTGGGCTGCTGCTGCATTTCTCCGTAATGCATTTACTGTTGAAAGTCGTTTTTGCACATGCCACAGCCAACAGCCTAACTGATGGCAAGTGGCACTTGTGTGGGCGTGCCAGGATTGCTCTACGACTGCCACAAACATATTTATTTTGGCAGATGGACTGGAAAAATGGAAAGCGAGAAGGAGCGACAGGACGACAGGGAAATGGCATGCAAGACTTCGCTTGGGGTCCACAAAATGCCTTTTCTCTCCATTTCTATTCGCATTCCCCTTTTCCCAGATTAAACTTGCACAACATTTTTAATGCACTTGCAACGCACACACAGTTGCACGCATAGTTGCATTACTTAAGGGGGTATTTTCGTCTGGCAGTTGGGATAAAAGCGTAGCCCGTCTGCTTATCTAATGGAGTATGTGCTAACAAGAGTGAGCAGCTCAAGGAATGCTGAGGTCACATAAAAAAAACATGAAGTTTTTGGCATATTTTGTGACTATTTCATAAATTAACAATTCTTTGTAGGGGCAATTTTTTTTTTTAGAAATTTTACATTACATTTTAAAATGGAACATTTAAAAAAAGAGCCTTGGGTTTTGTTAGCATTAAAAACTGAAACTTCCATAGCTTTATATGTTTGGTTTTGGCTACAAAAAATGTATAGTTGGGTCAGTTTCCATTCCTCATTAAATTAATTAAAAATACGCCAAAGAAAAATAATATAAAATAATAAGCAACATAAAAGGGAGCCGCTGCAGGATGCGGGTTCAACTTCAAAACGACTGTCGGCAAAAATTACACAGAACCAGAGAGTATCAGAAAAAAAATTCTCAACACGAAATAAATGGCAAAGGTTCTAAAAACGGCGGGCATTATAAAGGGGCAGGGGTTGGGTAATTAAACTGAATGTTCAAGCAAACATTAAACAACGATTTTTTTACGTTCTTTTTGTGCAAACGTCATGATGAATCAAGCCAGAATAAAGGGAACGACCTGCAGTAGGGAACGACCAGGAAAAAAGTAAGGGAGCCCTTGGCCAAAGGGGTCATTTTAGTAGTTGACCCACAAAACGGTACAAAGGTTTACCCAGCTTCAGTCCCTGTGGTTCAACAATGCGGAAAGCCCTCTCAGCAACTGATTAAACAAAGCTGAAAACCCGAGGGAATGAGAATTGCTTGGAAAATAAGTGAAAGGTGGCATCAATAGATTTTACGAATCTAAAGAGAAATGGAAATGGGTTGCCATGATAATGAATTGAACAATAAAGATTACGTCTCGCGATCTTGGTAAATAGACATTTAAACAGCAATTAAACCATTGTATCTTGTATTTTAAATGCATGAAAAAAACAAAGGACTATACTTTTGTCTCTTTAAATTAATAGATTTTTGTGCATATTAGATTGCATAAATTTAAATAGACAAATCTGTCGTTTAAATTAGAATTAAGCACAAACAATACAAAAACTGAAATTATTAAAAATATTTCCTTGTTAAAAGGTTAATTTGTAAGGCCCTTTCTTATTTATTTGCATTGGCAAGATGACATCAATTCAAAATGTATATTTTTTTTATCACAATCAGTGACACCTTGACTTACATTTCGCCTGTTGCTTTCAGGTTTTTCCGGCCCACTCATTTTATTTCCCATCGATCCCCTCTATCTCAGCTTCTCAGCTGCTGCACAACTGGCACAAATAAATAGAAAAGGAAATAATGTGGAAGAAGAAAAACCAGCTGGAAACTACTTTCACTATTAGTTTTTAGGGAAAGGGGGGTGTGTTTGCGGAAAATTGAATATGGCTAAATGCGCTTGACCAAAGAAAAGGCCAGCATAAACATGAAGTAAACAACAACAAATGCCGGTGACTGGCTGTGTCCAACTTTTCCAAGCACAGAAAAAAAAAAAACTTTTCTTTTCAATGCTTTTTTCTTTGCTTTTCTGCCTTGATTTTCTCAGATACATTTGGCAAGTTTGCCACTAAAAGCGAAACCCAATACAAAGATATTACGGAAAAACTGGTTGCAGCTAAAGATAATAGCTAGACGGCAAACTAACTTAAATCGCATTGACGAAAATCGGGCGAGAAGAAAAGCGTTTTTCGTTTGTCTCACTTATATTCCATTAACCCAAATTCTCCCTCGCCTCATCGATCCATGTCGCCAGTGCCAGGACAAACGAAACTTTAATGCGCGTCACTGCAGATGAAGATAAAAGTCCATCGGGAGATGACTACGAAAACCCCGTGACAGTCCGAGCTAAATCCCAGTAGGAGTTATTCATTTTTAAACAGCGTAACCCACACAACTAGGCGATGCGTTTGCAAAATGATGATTCAATTTGGTTGCAATGTGGGTGCTTAAATGGCTCTCGAGCTGAAAATCCTATAGTTTTACTCAGCGTTTTGGCTTTATCTGCAAGTTTTTGATTGATAGGCTTAAGAAGATGTTTCCTGTGTGCGATTGGAAAATAGAAAGCCTAATTCAGTGAAATTGATTTGCATTTGCGGTTCCAGCTCAGATTTCAGGCTGATGTTGATGATTGATGGTTGTCATTGTATGACGAAATCTGAATGGTTGAAGTCGTAAAGTTTTAAGTAACCAGATTCTAAAAATGACCACAGGAAGGCATATCAATATACATATTTAATTCTAAAGTCATTTAAGATCTGACACATTGCCTGAAATTACTTTTTTCTTGTAAGAATTGATTTAATTTTCAATTAGTTATTTACAATTAATTCTCCAAATATTTATTCAAATCAAAATGTAATCAATATACAATTGTATGTTTTAGCATGTCAATGTAGTATTTATTTATTATTTATTGTTTCAGATTTTACGTCTGCCTCCCACGTGCTGGCACAGCTTCAATTTAAAGTAAATCGCCCACAGTTAAACGTAAATGAAAAATAAACATCTGTCAAGCTTTGGCAGCAGCAAAAAACCGTTGGAGGATATGCTCTACATTGATTATATATTATGTACAATTAACAGCTGACCTATTTTGGAATTATAATATTTTATGCATTTTATAAGCAAAAAAAAGAGAATTTGCTAATTATTCTATTGTTAAAATCAACATTATAATTGTGTTGAATTTAATTTATTTCTTTTTATAAGTGTAAGGTATGAGGGCAAATGTGGCCAACATTATGCAAATTATATATATTTTTTGCAGTTTAGTGCAAGGTCTTTATTTTTCAATCTGATAAATGAATATAGACATTTTTTGTGCTTACTTTTTGAAGGGCTTTGCACTGATATAATGATTGCAGTGCTACGTGATTTATTGCAGTTTTCCAGGATTTTATTTGACAACGTTTCTGGCAGTTTCTTTATGCTTTATTTTCGTGTTTCAAAGCACCAAGGCCGACATTTCTGCGGTCCCCACCCAAAACTCCCAAGTTGCAAGAAAAGTTTTGTTAGACATTTTTTTTTTGGTTTTGAGACGAAGACGGAGATGTCAGCCAAGACCATGACATGCATCCCATTAGGTAGAAAAATTGCAACAAAATAAAAAAATTCTAATGAAGGAACTTTAAAGAAGTTGGAAAAAAAAAGTGGATGGTAATGTCTCAGAACGCGCATTATGCGGTCCCTGAACAACCCGACTTCGGGTTGATTGGTCAACTGGAAATGTTTTAATCGCTTCACTTGCACAGTTTAAAACATCTTAAAAGAGCATTTAAGCTTGATGGAAGTTTTCAAAGAACAACAAATTAAGTTAAGCTCTTCGTATATCGGTTTGAATAGATTTATAGTTTAGAGAACAAACCAACAAGGATTTTTTTCTTAATTTTAGTGGTCTTAAAAGTTAGTTAAAGCGCAAGAGAATACCAAGTTGTTTTCCCTTGTGTGCAAATAAAATACGTTTTCTCATTTAAAGTAAATGTATTGGTAAATGCAACAATGGATGGACCTTAAAAGTACTCGCATGCATATGTTTATAATTTTTTTTTTACCTTTTGGTATTGCAAATTTTTTTTCACACAAATTTTTCTCTTACATAGTTTTTGTTTGGCTGAGTTTCAGATTATGTTTCCATAGGTATATGCAAGCTGTACTTTGTTGGCCCAGTAAAGCGCATTAAGTCTTTAGCTTAAAGGCAACAAACAAACTGTAGCAACTTCAGAGCCCAACGAGTACAAACATGCAAACAGCTGTAATAACAGCAATTACAACGGCAAAGCTTTCCACCTACTCATACACTCAACCACCTGGACTCAGGTCCTTTGTACCAAAACAAAGGCTACGAACTAAGGACAATGGTAGAGGAACATTAGAGAGTTTCCATGGATCTACAGTGTTTTGATGTAAACAGATTTACGGCTGTAATCAGACTTATCGATGTAAAACAGGCGCGCACTACTAAATAGAAAATTTTATAAAAAAAAACACCTTATTAAAAAAAAAATAATATAAAAAATTTAATCTATATAAATGTTGATTTTATGTTTAAATTGTAAATTTCTCCCACAAACATTTCTGGATGCATTTTAAAAGCCAGGCAATTATAAATTGTGCCAAAGTCGATAGTTTTCAACG